TTGGCTCTGCCAGAGCTGGCCACAACACCAGCCGTGAGCACTGGTGGACCTTTCCTCTTCTCTCTTCCTGCAGAGACCAGCGATGAGAAATACCTGAACTCCATTTGCGGCACCTTCATCTGGGTTCTCTTGGCAGGGGCCTGCATCCTGCTCCTCATGGCCCTGGTGGTCACCATCGTGCTGTGGAAACGTAAGTCTCACCTGTAACCCCATGTAGATACTACTCTAGCCCAAAACCGCAGCCCTGTCCTTTAGGGGAAGGGATCTTCTAGCTGTCCCTTTAAGTAGGCATCAGACAGCCAGGGCACCATCAACCCAAGAGAAGGACCGCTGTTAAAGAAACATCAGCGTCCCCATTTTCCTCCTCAGTAGGCTTAGCCCAAGAAATCATTATGAGTTTCTACACTACAAGGAATAAAAATAGATTAGAAATAGAAAAAACTTTCTCTACCAGTCCATATTGCCTCTGCCGGCCCTACATTGGTGGATCAGGGGGTAAACGTACCAGAACCTGAAACACTTTGACAAAACGGGATAAATGGGCTCCAGCACGGGGCTTGCAAATTCAAATGCCACGACCCCCATCAGCAGCTTGAGCTGTCACCAAACAAGCAGCTTCATTGCACGGGTTCAGAGGCTGCTATGGTTAAAGCAGCAATGCAAAATCCCTTGGGTGAAATTGCATCTTTGAGATGTCTTTAAATTACCCCGAGCAAGCAGCGAGTGCAGATGCATTTAAATCAATTTGCCGCTCCCTGAAATCAGTTTAACTTTCCTGCGGGGAGTTTCCCGGTACCCCCAGACGTTACACCGATTTCATTGAACCAGCTCAGCTTGTTTCCCTGGAACACCAAAGTATTTTGCTGCTGAATTAACCCAATAGATCCTCACTGAGCCCAGAGCCTGGAGCTGATGGGAGATGAATTTGCCAACTGACCCAGTTAAAAAAAAAAAAAAAAAAAACAAAAAAACAAAAACAAAAAAACCAATCAATTTTTCAGCATCATTTAGCCCTATTAAATCGCCATGGTCTGCAGCAGGTTGGCAAATGTCATGTCCCTCTACAGGAAGGGCCGGAGGGAGGATCCAGGGAACTACAGACCTGCCAGCCTGGCCTCGGTACCGGGGAAGGTTATGGAGAGGTTCATCAGGAGTGCGCCCACTGGGCCTGTGCAGAACAATCCGGGGATCGGGCCCAGCCAGCATGGGTTCACGAAAGGCAGGTCCTGCCTGACCAACCCGATCTCCTTCTGTGACCAGGTGACACACCTAGGACATGAGGGAAAGGCTGTGGACATTCTCTACCCGGACTTCAGCAAGGCCCCTGACACTGTCTCCCACAGCATTCTCCTGGAGAAGCTGGCGGTTCATGGCCTAGATGGGTGCACTCCTCCCTGGGTAAAAACTGACTGGATGGCCGAGCCCAGAGAGGCGTGGTGAATGGAGTTAAACCCAGTTGGCAGCCGGTCACAAGCGGTGTCCCCCAGGGCTCAGTTCTGGGCCCAGTTCAGTTTACTGACTTTATCAATGATCTGGATGAGGGGATCGAGGGCACCCTCAGTCAGTTTGCAGGTGACCCTGAGCTGGGCAGGAGTGTGGATCTGCTGTAGGGGAGGAGGGCTCTGCAGGGGGACCTGGCCAGGCTGGATCCATGGGCC